CAGCACACCAACACAAATCATGACGACACAAAGACACACATTGATCCTTGTCATAGTATTTAGGTGTAAACAAAAAGCTGCCGACACAGAGCAAAGATGAAAACCAGCACAAAGAGCGATCGCCATGGTGATTCTACTTTAGAAACATGAACAGGTAGAAAGAGAGTCTGCAGCCTGACTGCTCCTCAGTTTGTTACTTGTTGAAGTTCAGGCTCTGGCTGATGGGCTGCGGCTTTAACATTACTTTGGGTTCTTGGCTAGCTTAGTATTAGCATGCTCTCTGTGCAAAGAGCCAAAGTTGTGTTACCTTTATCACCTATTCAGGTTGTAAATCGTGTTTTTAAAAAGTAACTAAGGAACTAAGGAACTAAGTAATTAATTACTTTTGAAAATAAGTAATCAGTAAAGTAACGGGATTACTTTTTGGGGAACTTTTATTTCAAGTAACTTGACCAACACTGGTGGCTGCCTGGTGATTTATTGATTTATTTATTCATATTCTGTCACCAACTACAACTTGTAGTGAATACATTTTTGCCCAGAGCTTAAGGATGTTGCACACTTGTGACCACGTTTGAGTGCAAGGTTGTCTGACGGGAGGCAAACTTACTGAAACCAGTTGCAGTCAGACTTGGACTGACTCTAATCACTCACAGAGAGTTTGGCTAAGGTTTGCAGATAGCTTCCATCTAATTTATAAATGCAGACATATTACCAACAAGGTGATATATACCAGTTTTTAAATTGTGTTGCTAGGCCACGTAAAACCAGAGTCATGACAAACTATATATACGCGGCGTTTTTCCTGAATAGTTTCGTCACGTTTTCTGTCTAAGGACAGTGCAGCGAGCACTCTCTGCTAATGACCTTATGTCAGACCTGCAGGAATCAGGCTGTGATGTTCTTCTTTATAGTGGACAGAAATATTTGGAGTTGCACAAATAATCTGTGTGGCATCTTATTGAATGAGAACACCTGATCGTTCTGTAAATAGTTTGAAATGGTTATTTAAAAAAGGTAAACGGCTGCAAATAACTTTCTTTGCAAAACTTGTGCATATGATTTTAAAACTGACAATTTATATTTGTTTTTAAAGTTATGAAATATGATTCGATAAACATGTTTTTGGTTGTTACAATAAAAAATATAACTTTTTCTACTCGGATTTTATGTTTTTTGTCTGATTTTAGATCAATTGTGTTAATACAGTATGTCAAATTGAAAACATAACTGTAAATTCAGACACGTGAGGTTGTGCTGAAAAGGATGATACCAAACAAGGCAAAGGAGATAGTTAAAGTGAATTGTTATAATTTTTACAACAACAGAGTCCTGAGCAGAGAGGTCCAGCAGCAGTGTGTGCAAACGGCATCAGCATAGATGGATGGAGATGCGTTTCCAGCAAGCTGCAACTTCACTATGTGTGAAGATGACTTTTGAGGAGGCTGTCTGAGTGACATTTGCCACGTTTGGAGTGAAACGGCAAGATGAGACAGTGGGAAAACACAGGAGAAAGCTGAAGAGAAGTGGGAGAGGAGAACGGAGTGAGAGGAGCAGGTGAGCAGACAGAGGAAGGCTGGGTTAGCAATCCTGGGAAAAAAGGAAACTGCTTTAAGTGGGAAAATTGAGAAGGAGTCTGGACTACAAAATGAGAAAGGTACACAAAACAAAAACCACACACACACAAACAGCATTAACCATACCAACCCCACATACACATACACACACAATGACACTCATGAAGACCAGACAGCATCTTAAGCATGAGATTCTGTTTGTCATCTTGTCCAAGTCACTAGTAAGATGAAAGCGATACATTGGTCGTGTCCAAATTCATGGGCTGCATCCTCCCGAGGTCCCGGCCTTCGCGGTCTACGTGGGCCGGGTCATCAGAAGGTCGGGTAGGCCGGAAGTAAACGGCTGGGGAAATTGGACGGTCTAGCCTTCTGATTAGCGTCACCGCTGTCTCGGTGGAGTTTAATAAACTCGGCCGTCTGCTCCTTGCT